GGACTTATTAAAGGTAAGAGAGAGAAATATTTGTGCTTTTTGGCCGACCGAGAGGTCACGACGGGCTGCCGTATGCATTAAAGACTTAAGCATTATTCAGTCATTGTAATTTAGTGAAATATAGCCTTGGCCTTGGCGAAATATACTATTACCATGCATGGACAAGCCTGATGTTTCTTAGAAATAACAAAAAATTAGGCGAATATACAGAACAAAAGTCAATGGCACATAGCATATTGTTTACATCTTCGAATTTTAGCCAAAACAGATTATTGCAAGGAATATCAAAATCAAAGAAAACTGGAATTCTTTTTTATTGTCAAGTAAAATACAATGTTTTTATAATAACGGTTGTTCCAGGGAAAGCTTTCTTTTTATAGCTGAGAGAAATGCTATGGATGAAAGATTGTTTTCATTTTCACTTTCCATCTAAGCGAGTCGATAATCGCATCGATACATGAAAACAATGCATATTAACAGTCAAAACAGCTTTTAGGTTTGGACATTTTCAATGAATTTTACTTGACATCATGACTTAAGCTGTATTATATTATTATAATAATTCCAAGGTATGCAGGTTTTACAGCAAAACTGACATTTTTTAGCCAGTATAAAACCAAAACAAAAAAGAAAGATTCATCATTACGTCATATGAAAATGCATCTATAGTCTAAATAAGCTGTTATATTGATTTTGAAAAATTACAATGATCTTTTGAGCTTTATTTCTTAGCTTAATTCGAGAAGTATCTACAGAGAATTTACTATAAATTGCGCAAAGGAAACAGAGATCATTTGAAATCCCGAGTCTCTAGAACCAATTATCATGCATATCATTGCAAATATGTTTTATCCGTCGATGACTCATACTAAATTCGCATCAAATGGCGGGAATTCAGTGAAACAGCGATTTTACGGAAATAGTAGTTTTACAGACATCGAAATTGCCAATAGAATTTCTCCAGAGTTGTCTATGTTTGTATTTYAAATTGATATGTTATGAGTAGCTTTTTTTTCTAACTGAAAAATACACCCATTTTATTTATTGTTTTGACGCACGGTGTTACGTCAATGATAGCCATATAAAGCTGTTAAAAACAGTACATGGTTCCACAACATTTTCTTTAGTAAAAATGATAGCAATTATATATGCTTTCTGGCTCTCTGTCTTGTCGAAAACTCAACTTAAAAACTGAATGTTACGAATATTGCCAATCCCAACAGGATCTTAGAGATTCGACTAGTGAATGCCTCAAGATGATGTTGAAAATGTTCGCTAAAAACTAGCACGTATTTTCTTATGAAAATTGTCTATTTTTCTACTTTTTCTTAGAGTTAAGCTTAAGCTCTACCATTAAATCGAAAGCGAGGGAAGGCTAGACGGTCGTGCGTAGGATCACATTCATTACTTAAAACTCAAACACCATAAAATAAGAGAGAAATGTCTAACGATAAGCTAATTGCTTCCTAAACATAATGTTATTGTTAATTACTTTATTCGATTTGTGGAAGTCACGAACGTTGCTGGTTCTAATGCAAAGAGACAGTTGTGTACGTGTAAGATTAGAAGTCGTTTTATAAGCTACTGAGGATTTGGTAAATGACCGGAAGGGTGATGGGTTTTTCGGTAATAAAGGAACAAAATATCAATGAAAACGAAATGAAAGATGATATAGTCACTACCTTAAACACGTAAAGTCAGTGTAATGAGCTTTTCTCTTATTTCCTTGTATTCGATAGTGACTAAGCTAATTTTTTTTGTATATGAAACAGCGTATATACGATGTCAGGGGCTAGTTACTTACATTATTTTCAATTCACAAAACCAAAAACGTTACTAGCTATAAAACCTAAAAGAGCCCTGCATGCAAAGAGCTTCTAAATTTAAAATAAAAAGATTTTCAAGGAAAAAATCTTGGTTTGAGTTTTATGGATTTTGCTAGTGTTTAATTGGCCTCTACTCCTTTGCTGCATTAGCGAGTATAACTCAGAAAGATCCAGAATATAATTGAAGTTTTCGATGTTCGGTTTTGGTTTGAATTCACTAGTCTTGGAGCTGAAACTTCTATACTGACCGACTATTCAACCAACCGACCAGCTGACAAAGAAAGACAGTTAGCAAGCTTGCTAAATTGACCAACAAACTGCGGACCACATTACCAACCCGAGCCTAACATGGAAAGTTAATTAGCAAAGTAACCATCACATAAAATGACCAGCTAATATTAAAGTCATCATAGCCGACTAACCGTCCAATTCAATGAGCAAACCTACCAAAGAATGTCAGTTATAGCAAACTTACAAATTGAATTTACCAACTAACTAGCCAAATTATCAGCCAAGAGCAACTTACCGACAACTCAACCTGCTAAATAACAAGCAAACCAACAACCAATAAACAATATCAACAATTAAGTAAACAAAAACAAAACAGCCATAAAAGAGGACAAACAACTATATAGTCTTCTTTACGATTCTCTGCGCCAATTATTTACAGGTTTCTATCATAGCACGCTCAACGGTTGTCTCGCTTCGATGTAAAGATGGCGCAGGGAACCGTGAAGGAGACTATTCCAGTGGCTTACAGGCGAAACTGCTGAAAAATGATGTCGTTGCATGACTAAAACGTAAAAGTTGACTAGTCCACACACCTTTTCGTGATGCAAGCTGGACACAGCGTAAAATCAGCTTTATTATTAAAATCATATACACATGTTTATATAAGCCCTGGACAAAGACTTCATGTGGCGATATTTCAGCCTTAAGTTTTGTAGCATTTGCACACTAGAGTGTCATCTTTCCTTTCCGTGACTAAAGCACACTGATGTGGATTGAATATCAGCAAAAATCACATAAACAAAACGTAACTAAGACATCATGTGGTGATGTGTGTGTTTTTTAACTTTCAAGGTGTGTTTTTGTGAAATCCCCTTTTCTTTTTTTATTCATTCTAAGCCCTTAATTAATAATACAAGCTAAATATTGAAAAAATTATCAATGTAATTCATAGGATTTGTAACTGATCGTGTAATGAGTTTCTGGAACTTAGGAATAATGTTGCTGAACACATATAAAATACTATGTAATTAAGGGAGGTACTATTAGGAAAGGATAGGGAGGATTGAGGAAAAGAGAAGGCGTGGTAGTGCGTGACCTTTCAGCTTTATATGTAGAGTTTTTTCTTCGTTTCATTTCGTTTGTGGTTTTACGTTGTTTTTTTTTTTGCGTTGCACGTATTTTTTTCTTCGAAATCAGTATGCTTGCATGGATCAGGTTTTGTTAAAGAGCGTAACTTCCTCGGTCCGTACACTTTTCAAATGTTGCATCCCTAAAGAGGCAAAGCTCAATTAACTGTTAAAATATCTACTTAGATCAAGGTTCAGGTTGAGAAAATGCTTTCCTAAGAATTACCTATCCTACATCAAATTAAAAACGATGAATAATGTGCATGGGCTAATACATTACTTAGGATTTTCTCTTGTTTAAGACGTCGAACATCGTCCTCATGTGATTGACAGTTGTAGTGTACATATTTCAAGGTCTGAAATAAGTATATTGGCGTTAATTTATGCGTGGTACATTTTAGAGTCGGCAACCAAGGTTATGAGAGACCCTCTAGCTCTATGCATCTGCCAATATATTAGCAAGCTTCAGATTGCGGCTACGAAATCGAGTATATAGGAGTACGAGGCTCAAAACCTGCCTCACCATCGCTTGTTCTTGTCTAAGCTGAAAGTAGCTACTCTTCTATCCCAGGCCTGCTCGATTACTCCTTTCCGTGCTATCGATAACGATTGAATACATGGGTCTAGTTCAGGCATGAGTTGCTCTCAATCTTTTCCTTACTTATAATAAAATTGTATGAAATTTGGGTTTAGATTAAGCATTTTCTCTGCAAAAAAGAATTTAAAAAAAAAAGAAAAGCAAAAATTCAGCAATCGTTTTAATTCACTTACAAATTGGCTAATCGAAATCACAAAAGACTCGTTTCATATATTTTGGCTTTTTAGCGTTGACTTTAGTGGGCATTGACTTGGCTTAAAGTGATAGAGACATAGCTAATGGGAAAAGTAGATCTAGAACATTAAGTTTGTGAATATTAGAATTCATTAGCGTTATCACAAAATGGCCTTTCTCTTCGCTTTTGTAAACAGCACAAAAGAAACGCCCGCGAAACTTCAGTTATCAAGATGGTTTTGGTTAGAATTGCTGTTTTAACTAATTATTTCCGTTGCCGCAAACTTCGCTATAATACTATTTCATCAGTGTGGGTGTACGTAAGGTAATGCTAATAAAGATATATAATTTTGTAAATGGTTTATAGTTTATAATCGAGTTGGTATTTCAGTGAATTTTGTTTGTACTTTGCGCACTATTTCAGGCTTATACAAAGCCTAACTAAGCGGAAAAAAATCGCATGCAGAATACACACCAATCAATTAGAATTCTAATTAAAATGTAGCTCTTGCTATATAGATTATCTTTGTTACTATAATGACTGAGTGCGTTCTTTGAGAAACCCTGCGGTAGACGACATAACGTATCCAACTGATCTCCGCACCAATTTCAAGGCATTTCCGTAGCTTTTTTGTTCAATTACTAAAACTCTACTTGATCGGCGTGTGTTTTTTGAATAAATGGCATTTGCAATTCAACGTTCCCTGAGCACACGTCTTCGGATTGACACAAAGTGTCCGCCCATGTGGAACACTCGAGATCTGTTGGTTGGCGCTCTCGATTTACGCCGCTTTTAAGCGCATTCTCTTAAAAGCTAGAGTAATTTTCATGAGTGGACAAGTCATTTGAAGTTTTTATTTCTGCTCTTAGTTCCACGTCTTGCTAAAAATGATGCCGTGCTTAGGTTTAAAGAGCTTGTTCTCGTGTTGCGCACATAAAAAGCCACGCCACAGTGAACCAAGCGCGCTGCAGTGCTGCCTCAACCCCCTTTGACCCCASCACGTGTAACAATGATTGAATCCTAATTTCAAATGTTTTGTTCGTTGTTTGCCTCGTGGGATGTAACACGGTTAGATTCACTCGAGAGAACATTCATCAATGAAAGGGATGTAACTTCTTTGTGAGTGATCACTCAACTTTAAAACATATGGACTAACGTACTGAATTTCTGAACAAGATCACTGTTTGGGAAAAATTGCGTTCTGTATAGCAGCAGAGAAAACTAGAACAAAATCATCTTTTTGAAGCTGAGAGCGTCGAACAAGTGAGTACAGTTTGAGATATTTGACCACTAGTTAGGTGTATTATAAATAGATTTAATTTCTCAGACACTAAGCGAGGAAGTTTTAAACGTAATAAAAACTTTATAGATATGTTTTGGTAATGCGGACTGTGTGATGTTTTTGTAGCTCAAATTATACTGACTTGTACAACACATAAGTCAGCGTTAGGTTTAGTAAACGAAGTGATCCCTTCATTAGGCATTGTGACAGAGCTTTTCCTTTGGAACCAGAAGATAATTGCATACCTGCTTCGAACAAAACCATTTATTGCTTAGAAAAAACATTTTTGTTGCTATGCGCTTAGAAAATAATGTTTAGAAAAGTAGCATGGTTTGTTTGGATGTTAGATGTTGGAGATTTCACAGGGTAAATATACATACTAGAGAAACACAATAATATCTCACTGTAATACAACTTTGAACGCGGCTGGATGAAACTTAGTGAATATATATCAGAAGTGTGTTGTCTTAAACGGCCGCTTAGGAACTTGCCCTCAATTGAGAGTTTCTGAAAAAAGAAACTGTTTTGATTGATAACATCAGTGGTAATTTACTTTCTATTTACTAAAATGATAAAATTGAAATCTTAAGATTTCTTTTTAAGATTTTTATTCGGGAAGGCCCCACAGCTTTTCCTAAAGGAGGAGTTTTTCTTCTAGTAATCATATACGAGTGATATAATTTCAAATTCGATATATTACTTTGATATTTTCAGATTGACTTAATCAGGTTTCTACTTGCGCGTCATTAGAAATTTGTAATAGTGTTGAATTACTAAGAGAAGTTATTAATAATTCATATAACATGCCTTAAAATGCTTTATTGAGTTACTGCTACACACGAGTAGTACTAGTCCACCTTAAAAAGGAACCGGTGTTCCTTTCTCTTGATCTATTCATCTAAATTAGGAGGTGTTACACCGGATGACTCAAAAGTAGCTTTTTTCGTGCTAAGTGTAGCTCACTTAGCTGTGAAACGAGTCAAGTTTTTGAACAGCATTCAAAAACATGTCGTCATATCTCGTAATTTAATTATCTTTGATAGAAATCATAATCAACAAGAGAAAATATTGAGTTAATGTCTTCTCCTGCAATACTTTTGTAAAGAAAAGGTACGCTTAGGTGACGATGATGACTGACACTTGTCTCTTTTGTTGCCATAAAAACCATGAAAGCTCTATTTTCTTTGCCTTTCGAAGTTACTTGTAGCTGATTCCATTTTGTTTTTCTAAGGGTTTTCGCCTAGGAATCCGCTTAYACAGAAATTTAATTCCGCGCTGTTACACCAGCCAACTTTCACAGCAATCTTTATCTAAAACTCWGGCAAATGTTTGATTCCTTCACTGCTATGTAAAATCCTCGTAACGCCGAGGGAATTCGAAAAACTTCGTGAATCACTCTTCCCATCATGTTGGGGGGAATTTACTTCTCAGACAACTATGGATGCGAGGAAAGTAGCTGTTGGTGTACCGTCATCACACAAAATGTGACCTCTGATTTTTCTAATGAAGGAGTTTTTAGAAACCGGTTACCCGTAAGTCCGGTTACCCTGGCAACACCAAACAACGATCGCAARCTGAAAATATCATTTTTCAAACTCGTCAAATTTTGCTCTTCGAAAAGTTAATACTGATGGCGAATGAATGTTGAGGTAGTGAGTATGAGTGAATATATAGAGGGCCACAAGTTTATTAGTCTAGAGACTATTACGTGCTACCCTCTCAAAATAAAAGACTTTATTTATTTTTTTATTTTTATGGTCTGCATACCAAGGCAACCTAAACAGTGCAAATTCATGATTTRATTTCCATAAAAACTTTGAGTACATCGTTATAGGCAAGATCTATTAACTTGACAGCAAAATTTCAATTCGGTGTGGTTCTGTAAATAAGTCGTTGCCTAAATAATAGTCACTTTTTTCACGGAAATGCTTTTTTATTAAATGGAAATATTCTAGGAAAACGAGAGACCTAATTCTGRTAAATGTATACAGTGAAAGTTAAAGTCCTCTCTTAACTTTTGGTTTCTGAAGCCAAGGTTTACTTCAAGTAAAAGAAAATTATCTCATGAAACCACCTTAACYTGACGGACGTGTCATATTTATAATTTCACGCGGGTTGCTGAAAAAATAGACCTCATTATCTTGGAACAAATACATGGCCGGTACCCACAGCTTAATAATTTCTCACTCATGAGCACCACTTTGTTTTTCTTTTCTTTTGTGCCTCGTTAACAAATGCAWTTTGGCAATGTATTATGTAATACGAGTTAAGTGCCTACAGTCACACCAGCACCAGCAAGTCAGATAGTTTGTACTTCGTGCCAATTATAAAGGCATGCAATTACGACTACAATTACGATTACGACTTAAAATGCAAGTAAAACAGTAACTCCAATTGTGTAAGTAAAGCCAATGGAGCCTAAAAAACGTCGTACTCACTTATGCAGTATCCAAATATCTACAAAATAACATACAAAGTACTCGCTTAAACAGCGACTGCCCGCGATGCAGTAGTGGTGATTAGCATATTTATAACCTCATTTACCATTCAGTTTTGACAGCTAAGTCTCTGAAATAATTTCCAAGCACCATTATCTCTATGAGCATATTGCCATATTGGCATGCACGTATTGTGTCCCGGCAATGAGCAAAAATGAAGTGTTCCATCATCATCATAAACAAATTGATAATCAGTCACGGAAAAACATCTATCCAATATATTTAACGTTCTACGGCACCAACCTCTGCTAAAAAACGTTTCAAAATAGTACGTAAATACTGGATTGCTATACAAGACGATGTARCTCGTACTTCCAATGAACTGTTGACTTCATTTACAAATGTTGTACTGTGAGTACTGGTACTACAGAATTTCACAGGGGAGAGGGTACGGGTACCTCTTCAATTAGCTCTATTGTTTCATATCCGTAGGGGACCAAGGACTGTAAAAAAAATTGAGAATTTATATATGGGCAAGTTTTACCATTTAACGCGGCCTCCATTTGCGCTCAAAAAGTCGAGTGTTGAAAATATTGACATATTTATGAGTTTCGGGTGGAGCTGAATAAGCCAAACGCGTAGTAGTACAAGAAGAGACATAAATAATTGTAGCGAAATCAATAATTCAAATCGAAAAATATTATCAACAGCACGTACGTGGCTTGATTTTCTCTCTSRGTTTAGCTCTCGATCAGATTTCCATGAGTTCTGTAGAACTTTCTTGCAACAAAACACCCCAAAAAGTACCCAGTTACAACTGTTTGGTCGGTTTTCTGAATTAACAAAAGTTGCCAATAAAAGTCGTGTAAACTATTTACATTACCGCGTGAATGAACAAGATTCCTTCCTGCATGTTTGCTTTGCTATGCATTGTTGTTGTATTGTTGTTTTCCATCGTGGTACCAAAAGCCTAATTCCTATTTGCTAATTTTTGCCTATGTGCTGCTTTGAAAACTAATTCATCCTTCGTCGATTTTCGGTTATAGTTAAGTTTTGTGCTATATGAATTTTGACATAAAATTTGTTATTTTCCTCTTTTTGAACCACCTCATGTTTGGCAGTGTACCACCTTAAAAAAACAGGTTGCCATCGCCTTGCTTTCTGTTCTTGCACGTGGAATGTTTGTAGACTGGGTGTGCACACCTAGTGAGGTTAAACTGGCCGTGGGTTTTCAGTGTTTACTATAAGCAACTACGATACGTAACCACAGGAACATGGCAGTTTCATTTTTAATATTTAGACATGTAAGTCGCAAAATGATATAATTAGGTTTTTGTCGACAATGATCATGATTAGGAAGAGAAACTTTGATGCCTGTTTTATCGTCTTAAATTGTGTGTAAGTAGTATTTTAGCCTATGATATTCCACCTTAGTTTTATTTTCGTCACTGTTTCCAAATGATCAGATAACCCTCGTATCTTATATTGATAACCCTTCATTGGAAAATGTACTTTTTTTTTAATAACAGCCACCTTAATTAAGAAGTGATTGGATTTAAACCAATTTAATTTCTAAATCGGAGTCCAAATTAGCCTTAAAACTCCAAATCTAATAAATTACATAAGTTGCTTTATGCTCGCAATGAAGTGAATTACTTTAGGAAAGTATTCTTACGGAAGATGCTCTCTTCCACGCTTATTGTATACCATACAATAGCCTCCATACYWACCGGTGTATCAAGAATAAAAGCATGTTCAGATCTCGCATTGTGGCTTTTTTCAATTGTCTGTTAGCAATAATTAGCAAACCCACAGACCTGATAAGCCGACTGACGGCTGTTTGACATATAGGAATACTTCCCCAGTTTCTAAGAGATGAATTTGGAGCGAAATGTCACTCTTCTACTAGATTAAAACAAATATACGACCTTGCTCAACGAGACGCTCAAACCGAGTCCCTTGTGATGTTTACTTTTTCCAAATATATAACTTAACTGCAATTTAATTGCGATTCTGTAGTCTTAACCACAATATTCGCTAAATTATAATCTGGATCATCAAACGGCACCAAGGACATGATAAAWATGCTGACCACAATTTCATGAAATTCTATTGACATTTCTCGAGGTATACGTGTTTCAATTACTGACATGTGACCCAATTGTTAATATACAAATCTTTTCATTGGCAAAGCTTATTTGCTCGAAACCAGTCAGTTTATCTACTCCTACTGAGACTATAAATTTTAGGTCGTTTTTGTTTTAAGAGACGTGATTGATTTGTGTCACGAACACAAGCTGAATGAACTCTATTAATTATGTTAAAATACAGGATTTTACTCAATTCATCATGTCAAAATAATGATCTGATAAGATTGGACGTTACTGAAAAAAAAACCCAGCTTCTCAAGATATGAAATGATATCAAAAGTAAGACTTGTGAGCGTATTTCTTGTATTTTGTAATGTGGCATAAACCGCACCTTACCCCGATCTCAATGAAGACCAATAGTCACGTGTCAACGCTCTAATCCAAGCATGTACATACGAAAATACTAATCYTCGATTTAATTCATTAAAGAAATGACATTAACTTCGAAATGGAAGCCATATCTGGTAAAAAAACTGTTAAGAATAATATATTCACTTGATTTCATCAGGTTCAMGGTATCTCTGCTGCCACACGCCCCACCCCCCCTTTCTACCCCCAGTAAGATCGTGGTCATCATCGATTGTTTCGCTTGAAACTTATGATCATGGTGTCCGGTTTAGAATATTACTATAATCCTTGCCGTGCTACAGTTTAATTAAAATTTGGCAAAAACATTCCGCCTTAAAACCGTTTCCGAGCACTAACTTGAGTAAACAGAATCCACACATGAGAAATCTTGTAAAAATATTATTGATTTGTAAAGAATTGCTTGCAATTTGAAGGCGACGATATTACAGGTACCCTTAGAAGTTTCTGGTACTTCTATTTATACTGGAAAAGGGTTTAAGAATTCGCTTCATTCAAGGTTACAAAGCCTTACAGGAAACATAGTAAGAGCAATTACTCCTCGCAGAAACAAACAAAATTTTACTACACCAAACAAAAAGACAACCACAGATGTACATTTAAAGTTTTTGCGGTCAAATCAGATCATAGAAGAGTTCCAGTGTGCTGACAGAATAGCCCAAAATACCTCGTGGTTCATCACTGATGAAAACGTAAGTTCACATTAGGCAAATTCATCCCTATAAGTAAGCTTCTGATTTTTGCGACTAATTGACTCAGTGTAATGCTAAAAACCTAAAAGCCACATGAAGGTGGCCTTGTAGCTTGACCGGCTATTTTTATCATTGACTAAATTCGTGTCAGTGACTAGTTTAAGACTGCGTAGTAGCCGGCCGGCACGACTACTACAACTAGGAGCAGGTAACCATTACAGGTCTGAACTCTTAAGGTTAAAAATCTATGTAAATTTATAATTAATCTAAAAAAGTGAATCTTAACCTTTTCCATGTCATACAAAGTAGAGCCTTTGACATGATGGCGGGTTTTTGTTCTTGAAATCCGTGTCATTCACAGATGTCATTGTGATTCGAAACCATCTGAACTCATATGAAGCCAGAGCGCAAAGAATCTCAATCGAGAGATTGCACTGTTTCTGCCATTCCTGTTAAATCAGTGTAGTAGATATTCTGTGGCCATTAATACTCAGTAAAAGCATGTATTATCCATACATTTAACACTCCTTTGCAAGAGATTAGGCGACCGTATACAAAAGATAATCTTCTACACGTGTTTTTTTTAAAGGCACCGTCAGGTTTACGTATCGCCCATGTACTCAACCATAAAACGCATTTTGAATCTTAACAACATAATACTTTCACCTAGAGAGCTAGAACCTAAGCTCTAAGAGCACAAAATAGATATTTTTACTACGGCGTGTATTAAACTGTATTCGTCCAGTAACCAGCTGCCTAAGGTACGTTTGTAAACATTGTTTTCTAAATATGTCGAAAAATTAGTAACCAGCCTATGGTTATAATTAGTGTATACAAATCAGTGTATTTTGTATCGTACAGACATTTCAAAGATTTAAGTTATGTTAAGTTAAGTTGTGAAATTTATGGAGATTTCTGGTGCTATTTTGTGGTCAAAAAGCCCAGTAGGTCAGTTTGATACGCTCGAGCTCATGTCATGGAAGACTACCAATCCGTATCTTTAACACGTGCTAATATATATATAATATATCATTTTTTCTACCCTCTTTCTTTAAATTGAGTTCGGCCGTTAGTCAAACCTAAAAAGGATTGTTTTGAGCAAGCCTTTTTCTAGTCAAGTATGATGCAATTATTTCTCGACCTCCATGTTATTTAAAATCACTCTCCCTATGAAACAACTTGATCTGACAGAGTTTTTTAATTGTTTTCTTGGGTCATTTGTGTTCGCTTATACAGGATCTCTTATTTTCCCACCGCCAAACATCTGGCTGTTTGCATTAAGTAAAACTTGAGCACTAATCTATGTGTTGTCCAATGAAAACCGTTCCATGCCAAAACGAATTCATCTTATAATTGTTGTTTGAAGTTGTTTTTGTCAGGTTCGACTGTTATCGTCCCTTGTGCTTACATACAACGGGTATTAGAGAGATATTGGAGTTTGTAAACTCAGGAAGCTTTCCGTTTTTTCAATGTTTAGTCCGTATTCAATCAAAATTCTACTTCCAAATCTATAACAAAAAATGGCAAATCTGTCGCAATTAGAAGGTGTGAAAGCCTTTTCAGAAGAAAGGGAATTTTCAATCTTGCAAATCATGTCAATTGATGAAAATTTGTCAGAATGAGTTTTAGCAGTTTGAGGGTCCTTTTAGGAGCATGAAGATTTGTTGACTCAACTTGACCAAGAGGGGGAAAAAGCTAACAAAAAACTGCTTTTCTTGTTTGCCGACACGTGTTTGCAAGCATAGTCTGCGTCTCAAATGCACGATATTGATTCGCATAAATTTACATAATCGCTACTCATTAAATAGYTCTAATAAAAGCAAACAATGGTCAGTCCTTCGACAAATACATGGTTGTTTATAAAAAAATATATCTCAGAAGTCGGAAAGAGGATATTTTTGAGACGGTAATAACATAATGACTACGCGAAGRGCTTCTTTGATGGAAATCCCATTGAATCTAAAGCTTTTGTATTTTTTGGTAAAATTACACCGAGAAACTAATGTTATTTGGCCGAAAATGGTACATTGTTCACTGTTGATCAGGGAAAATATCCAGTTTCGTTTGTTCAGTTTGACAGAAATAAAGTAATTCCGRATTGGAAATTGAAATTAAGTCTCCAGCTTTAGTGTTTTTCTGTAGATCTGCAGGAACAAACTTAATTAAATTCGTTAGCCCTTTCAATTCATCTTCCCAAACAAGTCCGAATTTGAAAATACCACGGAAGATTCGTTGCTCCTTCAGGGCATTTTCTTTTAAAGTTAAGCATTTTATTAACTTTGCCACCAGCTTATGAATTCTGTATGAAGATTTAGTGAAAAAAATTTCCGAGTTCTTGGTTAGGTCACGCTGTATTTTAAGGGGATTTCAATACGTTGTGGATGATGACCCTCTGGAGTTGGTCTCTCATTGTATTGTCATACTCCAACGGGTACAAATGAATGGAGTTAGCCAATCACGTGCCAGTATTAAAGGTTGTATTACCTCTATTTCAGGTGCCTGAATGACATTCGTGTTGTGTGGTGAGACGATAAGACTCGTTTTACTCCAGAGAAGTTCTGAATGAAAGTTTTATAGCATCGAAGTAAAACACTCGGTTTCGACTTGAAGATGGCACTGGCCGGAGGACTTCAGTACATCGACAATCTAGCTTTACGATTTAGTCTGCATGGCCTTGAGGATAAGTTTGCCGGTAAGCCTACTTTCTGTTTATCTTGGTCGGAGCCTTTCGATCTTGATTCGGTGGCTGGAAAGCTAGTGAGCAACCCAAAGAGAAGTAAGAGCTTTCCAATTACTCTTCCAAAGCGAATCCCAGAAACTGCAGAAAAGGAAAATGCCAACAAACACGAACAGAAAAAGGACGCTAAAACCACATCTTCAACTCGAACATATAGTGTTAAAGAGCTTCAATGCACACCGAGGAATACTACTCGACCACTCTCGGAAACTCGGTCTACTTGTGMATACACAAATATGGAAGAGGAATCATCGGATGAAGAACTTTGCGACATTATGCTTGAACAGGAAAATATTCAAATCAACCAGGACTTTATTGCTGTCAAACAACGGCCCGAGCCGCTTGACTCTCGAGGATTCGACAATTCATGCGAGAAGAGAAGGCTGCCAAGCAGGAAGCGGTATTTGGAAGAACTCGATACTTATCAAAGTGGCCATGCAAAACGACCGAGACCACGACTTGATTTTGACAAAGTATTGCTCTCAAAAAYGAATTATTCGGATGAAGAAGGCAGCGCTTCTAAAAGAGCCTCGTACTTTGCGCCTATCGTGGGATCCGATACGGAAGATAACGTCTGAGCGTAGTGGCTTTATGCAAAGGACATATGCTGAAATAGTGAGTGTTATCCAATGGAAATACCCTAGAATTTTTACTTTGGTGATTTTWTTTAACAACGAACAAGCAACAAGAATCAAGCTCTCTAATTCTGTTCTTAACCTAGCTTTGGGCAGGTATCATTCAAGTCAACACAAATAGTGTAAAAAACACCTTATGATTCGTAAGGACAACCTGTAAGTTAATGATTTTGTAGAAATCCCTCATATTATAATGAATTCTTCAAACTGTTCTGAATGATCCACATATGTTATTTATACAAAGATTTCCACTTCGTGAATGGAAATAAGTAGTTGGGAGAAGTTTAACGGCTTGTTAGGCCACACAACCTGTACACGGCGGAGTGTGGTTAGCCGGTTGAATTGACAAAACACGTTAATATTAAACATTTAAAACAAAATCCAAATCCAAAGAAAAAAAGAGAATATTAAGAAGAGGAAAAAAATATGAACTTTCAGATGTTTATGATGGAGTATATATCTATTTGTAGATAACAAATAAAATGCACTTTATATGAATGTTGTATTTTTTGTAGTGATTTAGCATATAGTATGTTTACTACAAGATGGAAGGTGTGGATCAATGGGGTCTTTAGGAAGGGATTTAGATTTAACACAAGATTATATCATCTTAAACCCTCTGTTATCGATATACTTTTCAAATTCACTTTGCTGTGTTTTCGCCCTCTCTCGAGAAGTAATCATCACTGAAAATTACATTTGTAAAAGCACGAGTTTTTAATGAAAACAACTATGACATTGATTAAAATTCATTTGTGCCGGGTGCCACTTATAGTGGCTCTTTTCAGTAGTGATCTGACCGTACCATATTGACATGAGTTTTTCTTTTTCAATTTCGCTTGGGCGTAAATGTAAAACCCTTTTTAGAGATCATCTTTTATGTGTCTTTTCTTTGGGAGAAAGCCTCAAAACAATGAACGGTTCGAAATTAAAGTTTTATTTCACTTGCAAATGAGTTTTGGTGTGAAATAACGAGTTGCTCGCTCAGCATGCTCATTGTCATTACAATGGTACGGTATGTATCGATCAATCTAGTGCCATTTATACGCAAACAGGCGCAGATGATGACGGCAATAGAGCTTGTTTTTCATCTCGATTAATACATGGCTAGACTATAATCACTAAACTCTTGCCCGGATTTGCCCAATGCAATAAGAAACGTGCTCTGTTCGGATAGTTTACGAGAAATCTTCCCAGGGAGTAGCGTAAGTAAGCGACTTCATGTCTGAATGGAAGAGCGAAACCRTGGGGGGCTTTCATACGCTGTAAATTTTCATCCGTGTAACAATGAATGTTTCGAGCCTAGTTGTCCTAACAATGCCCGGCGTAGAAAACATTAATTATTGGGGACAATTTAAAATCCCGTACGTCACAAAGTGGAGACGCTCAGGAAAAGACTTTAATCTAACATTGATTATCTAATAAAACTGAATTAGATGTATGTTTGTAATTACGGCATCAGATTGTTGAATTTCGTATCAGTTTTATACAAAGTCATTGTCTAGTGCCAATAGTTTAATTTGCATGGTTAACCACGACCGAACCAGCGGTTTTCTTCGGCTTAGTAAATGTTATTTTCTGGAGTGGTTTATTTGGACTAGACGTATATAGACTGGATGTAGTATATATTATTTTAATTTTCTGTGACGTCATGTCCACCATATGACGAGAATGAAAGTACTCTGGATACTAGATACCACAATGTACATGTTCCGCGGTGCTTTTGTCGGCATTCAGTTAGAATGAAAGGTTGAATTCTTTGGTTTTGAGAATTGTTGTTGCTTTTTTTCTCTTGTAGCCAAGGAGCTATACTTGACATGACAACTTGTAATCACAGAGGCCGAAAATTTGTGGAAAATGGGGCCCCGTTTGTCCATGCACGGCGCGAAAAAGGCATGGAGTTCCTTAAAGTAAATTTTCATTGGTTCAATGATATTTTAATAGCACATGTATATTAATTTTAGATAATTTAAATCAACTTGACCAAAAAGAGAGAGAAGACAGGCTTATTTATCCTTGCACTTAACACTGAACAAAGACTTCTTCACGTCCATTTTGATTGGTTTGAAAGCACATTTATATTAGCATATACATGCTTTGAATTTTGGTCAAAAAGGAGGAGGAAGCGATGCTTGCTACATTGTAATATGTAGGATGCAAACAATAGGTTCAATTCAAACAATCACAGATGATGGATTTCCTATTATTTGTGAAACTAAGAAGACGCAAACGTTTGGGTGTTTACATTGGACTACTAAGATAGGATCATCGCTCCTTTAAGAGTGGCAGATTATGATCAACGCTTGAGCYAAATAACAATTACACAGCTGAATGATTGTAAAATAATCAAATTGATCGGGTCAGCAGGCAACCAATCGAATTCGTAGCAAAATGGAAATACAACTATGAAAACAAATAGAGCGGAACARCGAAAAGAGAGAATAATAATAATACTTTATTCCACATACACCAATAATGATAAATAGAATGTTCTAAATTTAAGARTTWAAAATGMAAACTTAGAAAAATAACTCATGAATCATGARTACAATATTGCGCAAATCTTTGTACAAATTTAAACTTTCAAAACAATATTTTGCAGATATTTTGACAACTGATTCGTCTTTCATTGATAATATAATAGAAATAAGCTATTGCCAACGATAGTTTTAAAAGAGTTATTTATGCTAAAAAGGGTATCCGAAAAAGATTTTCCAAGGAGAACCATTTTTCATGATGAATGAGAATGATTGAGATATTTTTCTTCGCGAGTTGCATTATTCTCAGTCATGGAAACTTCGGAGCTCAGGTTTATAGTTTAACAGGCAAAGACTGTGAGCGCTGGGTGGATGGGCTTTACACATATTTCAAAATCTGATCATTAGAAATTCAATTGAAAGAAACYGTATCATTGCACACAGCTTCTTCRCCATATAGTCGKTTTTTTAGTATACACTGCGGTGTTTCTAGTTCAAGAGTTGACTAATCCAAGGAGGTAGAAGCGTGACAAATTTGCAGGTGCCGTCACGCAATCTAAGTTTTTCGTCAGCTTTGGTGAACTCTAAAGTTATTTTTTGTTTTCATTGCTTATTGGTCTTCGTGTCGCTTCTTTTTTAAAGGAGGCAATGAAAATTATATCGTCTCAAAGTACGGCCTTATTCATGCACTTACAAGTGCTGATTACTACCATTAAAAACAGAATCAACTCGTCTTTATTTGCTTAAAGCAAACACCGGGTTCTGGGTCAGACTGAAAAGACGGTTCAGTTTATACGGCTGAAAAATAAGGTTTTTTTGTCTAAGACGAAAACCAGACGCGGACTTTCATTCCTGAAAATCTCCCATTGCTTTTAAGAGAACATTTCATCGTTTTAAATCTATTGTGAAATTGCTGGCTAAACACCCCCCGCGTTGAGGGTAATAATTATGGGAAGGTAATCTGTTGAGTTGGCTAAAGGCAATCAGAAATGAAAAACTGCAGAGCCTTAACGATGCAACGTGGCCGTTTCAATAGCTGGCCAACAGATGTCATCATCATCATCATCATCATCATTGTCTTTTCCCTTGAGTGGCTCCGAACGGAAGAACGCTCTCTTCCCCAAAACGCGCTATTCACGCTCAAGCGCACGGAGTCGTTCTCCTTTGCCATAATAACCTACATTCTTTGTCACCACCGAGAGCGCGCTCGACCTTGCTCACAGTCTACCTTCAGTCTCCAAACAATATATGCAGTTTTACTTGAGAGCTACAAAAGAAGTTATCTATCTATGATAAACCTTATAAATACACATCATATTTATATAATACTTTATTTGTTTAATAATATACTGACAGATATAAACCGCGTTACTGACCAAAAGCTACAAACCACACGCTAATCGAGAAACAACRTGAATTTGATAGATTCGGGGAGCGGAAAATTAAATAAATTTCTTTCTGATGAACACTTCTTTAGTTATCTTTCAGAATTAGTCATATTCATTTTAATTGCTTTTTTAATTCGTTATGTGTAATAATTACCATTTAAATAATTACYCCCTGGATCCGGCCTTGTAATAWYTAATGTAGATGAARCATTATGGAAAAGGAAAGTATGGAGGTATCAAATRTCTCTAGTTAAAAGACTTATTTAAGTCACTTTGTAAAACTTATGTACGTAWCRGAATATCAATGACTTTTTTTATATAACTGGAATGTAGCCCAATATGCGGGTAACCTCGTTCCCAGGTCCTTATCCCTTTGCTTGAAGGAAAAGGGCTTGGGAACGAGGTTAATRYGCGGGCACTTGATAGTGACGGACTCTCCAAAGAWTTATTACTCATTACTTCGGCAGGTTGCATRTGAGAAGTTGTCGACCAAAGGTTGTGCCGCTTGTACGGCCTTTACTGCACTAGCTTTAGAATCTGTGTAACATAGATCTAGTCAACTAAAACTTATTCCATGATATAATCTCTTTTAACTACATGCAGTGAATTAGTTGGTATTTTATGGGTTAAGTGCAATGACTCTATATTAGTGTTTCGTGAGATTGAGAGGAAATTATAGAAAGTACCACTTGATATATATCATTGAACATTCTCAGATTACTYTGAATCCCAAAGGATTAAGGTGCAGAGGCTTTATATTAGTGAGCAGGTATCAAGTTTACAGTAAAAAATACATTTTTAATTTAAAATATTTATCAGTTTTCTTATTTCATCTATTTTTTCATGGCAGTCTTCAGTGGATGTTGGTTGTTGTATGGAAAACATTCTACATTTTCTCGTTCTTCATCATCGTCTTAGTCCTCTTGTTTCCCTTTTCCATGTTCGCTTTCTTCTCTTTCTTTTCATCCATTTTTCCACTCTTATCTTGCTCTTCGTTCTTTCCCTTTCCTTTTTTTAGTATGAAGGAATTCTTCTCTTTTATCTTAATGTTCCCAATATTCTTCTTCAGTTCTTCAGCCTATCTTAGAACTGCTCTTGCTTCTTTTTTTATTTCTCATCGCTCTTTTCTCTTTTATTCATTTTCTCCTTGTTTCTCAACCTACCACAGACCGTATCTTAGTTCTATCCTGTTGTGCCGCTTATACGGCCTTTACTGCACTAGCTTTAGAACCTACCACAGACCGTATCTTAGTTCTATCCTGTTTCTTTTCAGTAATCGGATTTGTGTAATGATATCTTAGTACATTTCATCTTTTCAACAGCCATTTGCAGTGCTGAGCACGCGTACTTCAACTGCGCTTAGTGGCTCATTTTACTTGCAAGTAACTCATGTCTTTTCCGAGTTTCTTTCCTTTTCATTTTCAAATTATTTCAGTTCCGATTTCTATTCTTTTCAATTTCTATTCTTTCCGATTTCTATTCTTTCCGATTTCTATTCTTTCCGATTTCTATTCTTTTCGATTTCTTTCCCTATTTTTTTCCTAATTCCTTTCCTTTCTCTTTCTTTGTTGTATTTTTTTAATTAGTATTTACGAACGTCCACGTCAAGATAACAATAATCCGTTTAAGTGTT